AGCCTCACCTCTGTTGATCCCCAATTTCTCACCTGATGGCCCCCCTGCAACTATGCCTGTCTTAGGTTGTTCCTCCCTTGAGGAATCTTACCCGTCTCTGGCTAACCAGTCATCTTCCGGGGCCATACAGGGAAATGTAAAGTTGCTAAGTGAGAGAGAAGCAATATTGTTTGAAAAGGTTAGCTTTTTACTTCTTTGCAGATTTATGCCCTGCGGCTTCTATGCCCAGCCGTGTAATTATTTTTTAACATTGACATCTGCGTTTATGCAATGCTCATCCTTGTTTAAAACTTTTATGGCTGAGATGTCTTAGGTTTATAACAGGTTGGCCAGCTTTGGTGACATCTTGCTGGCCTTTGAAGTTGGCACAATCCAGTATAGCTGCCTTTGGGGTGTGTGGCCATGGAAAAACATGTTTTTGTTGTTGAGTGTTTTTGCTTTCTAGTAATTTTATTTTTTGCTCAAGGGATTTTGTATCTGTTGAGATATTTTATTTTTAAAGGCCACACAAGTAATGACTTGACCTCTAATCTTAGCTTTGAAAATTTTCCAGACACTAATAAAGATAATGTCTGATGACCTATTATTTGAGAATACTAACTAGCCAGCAGTTAGTGCTATTTAAAAATGTATATTTTACTCTGAAAAATATTTCCATGGCTAAAATATTTTCTTAGTAAAATTGTGCATGTAATGACAATTTGAATTTATAAATACTAGATTTGTAATATTTTTTATATGGTGTCACAGAGATTTAGTACAGTTCAAAACAACTCTTCTCAAATACTATACTAAAAATTAGTTCTGAGGAAAATATTTTATAAACCAAAATCTTATCAGAAATAACACCTGTCTCTTGGACTAATAATACTTTGGACACAAAGGGTTTTATAGTCATGTTTGGTTTGCATGATGTGAGCTGTCTTTGTAGTAAGTATATGAGTATGATTTTTACAAAGAATCAAGTTACTACTGAAGACTAGGATTATCAATTAAATTATCTCATCTGTCCATTTCAGAACACAAGCTTCATAAATTAGTAAAGAGAAGTTCAGCAGACTGCATTGATACGTGTGCCAAGGTGTATTCATTAAGAAGAGGAAGGGAAAAGCAGTTTTCTCCTAGATGTCTGAGCAAAGCAAGAGTTGCCTTTTTTGGTCTCTCTTTACTTATCTTATGTCTATAGTAATAGCTCCACTTGGTAAGAACCTGCCTAGACAGAGTTGTTTTTCTGAGAGTGGTAGAGGAAACTGCAGATTGCTATCTTGATGTGTTTTCTTGTTTGGCCTTTTCTTACAGGCAGACGCATAGATCAATTTAACAGAATAGAAAGCCTGGAATTAAAACCACACATAAATGGTCAATTAATTTATGAAGTAGGCAGGAATAAATGATGGGAAAAGGATAGTCTTTTCAATAAATGATATTGGGAAAACTGGACAGCTACATGCAAAAGAATGAGTCTGGACCACTATCATACAACATACACAAAAATTATGTATACAACAAATACCCAAGTCAAATGGATTAAAGACTTGAATGTAAGACCTGAAACCATGAAACTCCTAGAAGAAAACATGTGGTAAGCTCCTCCACATCAGACTTGCAGTGTGCTTTGGATCTGACTCCAAAGCCAAGGGCAACAGAAGCAAAAATATACACATGGGACTGTATCAGACTGAAAAGCTTCTGCACAGTGAAGGAAACCATCGACAAAGCAAAAAGGCAGCCTGCTGAATGGGAGAAGGTATTTGCAAATCATATATTGATAAGGGGTTAATATACAAAATATGGAACGCTCATACAACTCAGTAACAAAAAAACAGTCCAATTTAAAAATGGGCAAAGGATCTGAATAGACATTTTTTCCAAAGAAGATATTCAGTTGGCCAATAGACACATGAAAAGATGCTGCACATCACTAATCGTCAGGGAAATGCAATGAAAACCACAATGAGACACCACCTCAAGGCAGTCAGAATGGCTATTATCAAAAAGACAACAAGTGTTGGCAGGGATGTGGAGAAAAAGAAAACCTCATGCGCTATTGGTGGAAATGTAGATTGGTGTAGTCACTATAGAGGACAGTATGGAGGTTCCTAAAAAGATTAAAAATAGGATTACTTTTTGATCCAGCAGTTCCACTTCTGGGTAGTCATCTGAAGAAAACGAAAACACTAATTTGAAAAGATACATGCCCTCTTACCTATGTTCATTGCAGCATTATTTACAATAGTTGAGGTATGGAAACAACATGAGTTTCCATCTATAGATGAATGTATTAAAAAAAGACGTTACATATGTATGATAATTGGATAATAGCCTTAAAAATTTTAAGAATGACCTGCCATTTGTGATAACGTGGATGGACTTTGCATTATGCTAAGTGAAATAAGACCGAGAAAAGACAAATGCTGCCTGACTTCTTCACCTGTAAGTGGAATCTAAAAACAAAACCAAACCAAAGTAAGACTCATAGATACAGAGAACAGAGCGCTGGTTGCCAGAAGGGAGTTGAGGACAAAATGGGTGAAAATGATCAAGAGGTACAAACTTGCAGTTATAAAGTAAGTCATGGTGATGTATAGCATAGGGAATACAGTCAGTAATATTGTATTAACTTTTTGTGGTGACAGGTGGCAACTAGATTTATCATGGTGATCAGTTTGCAGTGTGTATAAATGTTGAATAACTGTTGTACACGTGAAACTAGTAGGATACTGTATGTATATTATACTTCAGTAAGCACTCCTTCCCCCCAAAAAAAGAGATGATGTTAAGTTCTTTGTTGTTAAACTCGCGTTTTATGCAAAGAGAAGAAACAGTCTGTTTAATTAATTGTAATCTTTACTTGAAATCTGTTACAGTTAAATTAGACAATTCTGAAAGGGATTTGAGGAATTAAGGTTTTCCTTTGGTTCCAGTGGATGGGAAATATTTCAGTCCACTTACTTGAGACTATAAAAGAGTTTGTTCTTTCCCCACATCAAGAATTATGAAGATTAAGTCACAAAACAGATTCAGGGTTAATTTTTAAAGCTTTGTCATATTTCCATCCTCATCAGTTGTAAATAATGTGCCTGATTGTAAAATGGAAAAAGTTGAGATTTTCCACTTATGCATTTTGAGCTTTTCAGAGGTATTATACACTCTGGAAATAATAATAAAAGATACTAGGCCTTATACAGTGCTTTTTGTGTGAGGAACTCATATAAACACTAATGCATTGATCCTAACACAGTACTTGATTGTGACTTTAAAAGGTCATGAGTTACTGCTGTAACAACAAAAAAAATAGAGAAAGATTGGAGGGGAAGCTCTAATTTACAAATATTGTTTAAAAAATATCTACTTAAGCTGATACAGATAACTGAAAAATAAAAATTATGGGTTTTTAAAATTATTGTTTGTTAACTTTTCTCTTAGCATATAATAAATTTTGTAATTTTTCTTTTATTCATGAATTTACTTGAAGCCTGATCCCCTTCTTAGACCAGAAAGCAGAATTTACTTCTACACTTCCATTCCTTTTCAGAGAAGAACGCTTAAGCCTATGGTGGTTTCTTGAATTTGCCACATTAACATGACAATGCATTTCATTTGTCCTGAGTTGGGAGATCATCGTTTTACTTTTCTTAGTTTAACATTTGTGGTACATAGCTGTTGGTTTTGATGAATATTTGGTGGTCATGTGACTTAACTTCAGCTTTTTCGTGTTTTATAGGTTTATTCTTCAATCCAAGGAGGTAATTCACAATCAGCTGTTAGAGAAACAGAAAATAGCAGAAGAAAAAATTAAAGAATTGGAAGTAAGTTTTGACTGAATGTTGATAGTAGTAGTAAACTTTTAGGAAAAAAGTAATTATCTCACTTTCATATTAAATGAAAGTATATGCCTGTCAACATGTCACATTGTTTTCATTTGTTCTGATGGTGTTAGAGCTATGAAGCAGTCATATTCAGGCAGTGTATAAGACAAAAAAAAATCTTTGGATCTGTGGGGAATTTTGAAGAAGATAGGATGCTTTTAACCATGAACATGTCTGTTCTTAAAAACAACAACAAAAGAAAAACATGTAACGTATATTTAGGACCACATATTGTGGTGGGTGGGCATGAGAGGGGGTAGTAATGGTAGTTAAAGGATCTTGATACATGTCTGTTTTGCACATTATAATTCCTTTAACATAGATTAGGCTCTAGACAAGACTGAGTAGTAAGTTGTAACTAATTGACTCTGAAGGTTGGTGCTTCAGTGAGGAAAACAATTTTTTTTTTTAGCTAGGGAAAAAGATGATAGGTAAGAGTAATTTAGTAAATTTTTGAAAAATTGGGAGTTTATTACTACAGTTTCCTTATATGTTAAGACCTTTAATGAGATTTTCTTCTTGGGCTTTGGTGAAATGTCCAACCTGTATATAGTAAAAGTTGGGCTAGACAAACAACTGGTTATTAATTCTTTGGGACCAAGATTTCCTGAGATGGGGGTGGATACAATGATTTCATAGGTCACTTTATCTAATTTCTGTGAGTACTATTTGAGGCAGTGGTTCAGAATCTGACTCAGCCCTCTGCTGAATTGATGAGACACCCCTGTAACCTCCTGGGGATTTCTCAGGGGCACCAAGTTGGCATGGCCTGGGCAAGCATATAGTGTCTTAAGGTTACATAGGCTTGTTTTTGTTTGACCACTGATGATAATTTAGACAAACTTGATAATAGATTTACAGCTTAGAAAGATGTATTGTAAAAACAAAACAAATAAGCAAACAAATCTCGTACTGTAGTTATTGTATCCTATTTTGTCAGCACAACTATACCAGATTGAATTTTATATTCTCTAGTGTTTTCAAGCAAAAGTATCTCAAATAACTCCAAGTAAAACTATTTCATATAGATAACAAGAAATGTTTTTTGCAGCTTTGTAGGTAAATATATCTAAAAATTGTCCTGATTAATGAGTAGTAAGACACAAAGTAATGTGTTTATAATTCTCTTTTTATGAAAACAAACAAAAAGTAAGATCTGTGTATGAACATTGAAAATGATATGTAAGCATATAAACACTGGCTACTCTAAGGAAATTAGATGGGACATGGGGATGAAATTATTTTTTTCATGTAATCTGTGTATTTGGTAAATTGTAACAAGTATGTGTTAACTTTTATATAAAACATTATCAAGGTAAGATTGCCACAGATAATGATTTTAGTGTATTTTTGGTTCTGATGAGTATTATGAAATATATTTTCCAAAAGTTTTCTTTCATTGAGTCTTTCAAATACTAGTAGAGTATCCTGATATCTGACAGATAATAAAGGTAGATGAGCTGGCATGTAGGTGCCTGTTGGAAATGCTTATTATAGCAACATAACCAGCATAAACTTGCCTCTACTCAAAGAAATTTTATTTTGCTGTTTTTCTTTTTTCTTTCATTTTACATGTTACTTAAATTATAAAAGCGATATAATGTAAGGTGCTATAAAAAAGAAAAGCAGTCAAACAAAAATTAAATAATTAAACAAATTTACAACTTTCCTCTCTTCACACACTCCCAAATGTTACCTTTGGTGATTATTTGTGTGTGTATCATTTCGAACTTTCCTACATTTTATACACATTCATATGTATAGATACATAACTTTTTAAAATAAAGAAGAATTATGCTGTATATATTTTTTCATTTGACAATGAATCTTTCCATTTTAGTAATAGAAATCTAGTTTATATTCAACTTGTCTTTTTCCATTTCTCCTGCTATTATAGGTTTCTCATTCCTCAGTATTCAATTATTGCATGATCCCTACCTCTGCATTTAGTAGACTCTCCAATATTGCCTTAACCTGCATTTTTAATAGTACTACCTACTATACACTCTCTTCTCTTCCCTGAAGTAATCCTATACTTTTCCACTGCCATACCTTTACAGTTTTATTATTTACTTCAGCCTTAATGTATACATGTGCACACACCCATGTGTGCACTCATGCACACATGCTTTGGGAATTGGAGTGTTTGGGTTCAGTTATAGTGAGTTACTGAGAGAGGTGTCAGATCTTCCTTCATGATATTAATCAGTTTTTCTCAGTCTTTCAGTTTTATGGGCAATGGTATTTAGAGACTACTCTCTGGGTGCTCAGAGTGCTCATTATTACCGTATACATAGTTCAGAGGATGTGTCTGATTTTGCTCTATATGTTAGAATTCCTCAGCCCTTTTAAAGATAGCAGTCCACTGACTTTTAGCTTCCCGTGTTGCTGTTGAGAAGTCAACTGTCAAATTGTTGTTCCTCTGTCTTTTTTCTTTGGCTACTTTTAATATTGTCTTTTTATCTTTCACACTTTGTAGTTTCTTTGGGATATATTTGGGTCTGATTTAATTAAAAAAATTTTTTCTTAATCCTACTTGGATTAAGTTGGGTTTCCTGAATCTGAGGATTAGTGTCTTTCATCAGTTCTGAAAAATTCTTATCATCTGTGAATATTACTTATTCTCTCTCTTCTCTATTAAATGGTATTTCCTTCAGGAATTTTCCCTCACCTTTAAACCAGCTGTCCTCACCATAGTAGCATCTTAATTGGTTTTTCCATGTCCAGATTTCCCCCTTCCAACCTTTTAACATATTTAAGCCAAAACAACCTTTGTAAAGTGTTGTATCTGGTCGTGTTACTCCTCTATGTTAAAACTCATTATTATTCTTAGGGTAAAGTTCAAACTCATCCACATAGTTTCAAGGCTCTTTATGAAATGCCTTCAGTTTATTTCTCTCATCTCCCTCATTTCTTCTGCCTTCTCTTACACTGTATGCTCCAGCCATAAGGAAATACTCTGTTTTTATAAGTTGCTGTGCTTTGTTTCTACTGGGTCTGTGCAAAAGTAGTTCCCTCTGCCTGGGAATTTCTGCCCTTACCTACTTCATCTATTAATCCTTAAGATCTTAGTTTCGGGCTACTCCTGAGAAACATTTTGATTCTTCAATCTTAAATTAGGTGCTTTTTCCTTGATCTTTCACATTATTCTATTAGTTTCATAGCACAATGTGGGAATTTGGGTCTGTAAACTGTCACCAGTTGAAGTAATTAAAGTTAGCCTTGAAAAACTGACCTCCCCCTAACCCCTAACCCCCACCCTCAAGCTTTGTAGTTGAACTTCTGACTTACGTGCAACTTAACTACTAACAGCCTACTGGAAGCTTTACTTATAAATAGTTGATTAACACGTATTTTATATGTCACATGTAATATATACCATTTTCTTACAGTGAAGCAAACTAGAGAAAAGAGAATGTTATTAAAATCATAAGGAAGAGAAAATACATTTATAGGACTGTACAATATTTATTTTAAAAAATCCCTGTTGTAAGTGGACTTAACGTAGTTCCAACCCATTTTGTTCAAGGGTCAACTGTACAAGTATGGTTTCCTATTACTTGGGAAGCTTGATACAGGTTCATAGCTCTACGTAGTTTTTCCCAAGGCCTCCCAGTTGTTGCTCCTTTAAAATCTATAGTCTCTTCTTCTAGGCCCTAGCATTTCTTACCATTCCAACCTGTTTCATCTTAATCCTATTTAATTACTATCATTATCATTAAGTTCTACCCCAGATACCTTACAATTAAGTTGGGTAGGCAAAATTTATGCATAATTGTGTAGACAAGTGCCAGGATGTTTCGATTTAGCATGTTTTCATCTCTGAAGGACCAAGGTTATTTTTGTTCTGGGTCCATAGGTCTAGTTTTTGATCAAAGCTGTTAACTTGGCCCACTTTATGTGCCTCTCTACCCACTACCAACAGTTTATATAAATGACATTATGGATAAACTTTTTCTATGATATAGGTGCTAGTCTGATTCAGATTCTGATTTGAGAGCCTATTTCCATTAGTATTTACTAGACTCCCTTTTATTTACACTGTTTCTTTATGATTGTCCCACACCCCCAGTCTGTCTTTATTTGTGAATGCAGAACTTACCTAGAATTTGTTTAGTTTTTGGTAACACTGTTAAGGCTGCGCCCATAGTTTTTGATAATGCTGTTAATGCTGTGCCTACATTGTCAACCAACCTGTTGGCCTCACCCGCTGGTCCTTTCCTCTGATGGAGCAAAGGTAGGGGGTTCTATAACCCTGTCCTTATGTCCCCTTGATAGGGAGTCACATTACTCATAAGAATGGTAGAAACAAATATTGTCTTGACCTTGGGAGATAGTCTTACTGTCTTTTCCTTCTTAAAACTCCATATTTATATTTTAATACCCCTATGTTGTGTTATTCTTCAGACTATAATAATTTTACTGGGATTGATTAGGAAATATTTTCCTAACAGACTCACAATATGATAGTGTTATGTATATTTTTATCTTTCCTTTATAAAGACAATAAAGGAGGGAATATCACCGTTCCAGCCTAGTGGTGATTAGTAGACCAATGATGCTGATCCTTGTGAAGAGGAAATATGAAATGGTGGCTCTCGTGTGATAGAGTAACTGCTATTTATGTCATTGAGGGAATTCTCTACCTTTAAAAAATACTGATTTTTAAATACTAAATTTAAAAATAAAATTTTAAAGTAAAAATGCTTTTAAAAAATACTTTTTAAAGCTGGCTGAGTGTAATACATAATGCAGTATATGTTATCATTAGGAAAGTACAAAAGCATAGTTTTTTAACATGACATTAATGTAATTGGGATTTGAAAGTACGACTGAGTCTCATCTGTCTTTCTAAAACTAATTTTCTGTTTGAAATGTACAGCATTGCTACAAAGGGAGTAGAAGTCTTTTTTTTTTGAGAAAACAAAGTTCAGTTAAAA